ACTATGTCTCAGGAAAAGCATCTGCCCCCGAACCAAGCACTGCCCTCAAAATAAAGCCAAATGTGAAACACCTATGGCATTGTGTATACCACATGGGCTATTTTCATTCGGGGGGTGGGAACGGCAATTGGGGTGGGGGACTGGGACAGAGAGCTTCTAATCCATGTCATATTTCCCAAAGAAAGGGGAATTGGTGCCCCTTGTAGGGGCACCTCTTAGGACTCAGTGATGGTTGACCTATGTCCTGAGAAATTTGAAGAAAAGACAGAAGATGACAAAAAAAGAGCGCCCTCTCTGGCTTTCTTAGCTGAGTACAAAGGGTACTGACAAAGGAGTTAAAAAACTGGGGTTCTAGTCCTGGTTCTGTGGGCCTTTTGACAAGTAATTTCCCCTCTCTGGTTCTCAATTCCCTCATCTAAAGAAAAGAAAGAGTTTGAACTAAATTATCTTTGTGGGCCCTTCCAGCAGTAATATTCTGAGCCTGGGACCTTTCTGTCCACCTTTACCAGCTGAGTTTAAAGGTGCTTTCTTCTTCACATCATACCTTTTGGATACATCCTCAAACCTCGAGGAACGTTAGAGCTGAAGAATGGTTAGCCGTCAGAACCGAGCAAACACGCTACAGCAGGTAGAATCCTGGGCTTGGCGTCAGAAGTTGTCGTTTGGTCATTTTTCAGTTGTGTCTGACTCTTCATGACCCCATTTGGAATTTTCTTGACAGAGGTACTGGAGTGATTTGCCATTTCCTTCTCCAGCTTAGTTTACAGATGAGGAAACTGAGGCAATGAAAGTTAAGTGACTTGCCCAGGGTCACACAGCTAGTAAGTATCTGAGGACAGATTTCAACTCAGGAAAATGAGTCTTCCTGACCTCAGGCCCCACACTCTGTCCCTGCACCACCTTGCTGCCTGGACTTGGGTTCAAATGCTGGCTTTTCTACAAACTATCCGTGTGATCTTAGGTGAGTCACTTAAGTTCTGCGGGTCTCAGTTTTCTCATCTGTCAGACAAGGCAGTTGAATTCAAATAATTTCCCAGGACCAAAATGATCTCTTAGGCCCCCTCCAGCTCCAAGTCCTATAAGTCACACCCTCTTTTTCTCCCACCTCATTTTGTAAATGGGCTGAGACCCAAAGATATTATAACTTGCCTGAGATCAGATGGAGCTGACCCTTTGAACCCACATCTCCTAACTCCTCATCCTAACCTCTGAGCTGGAATATATATATAGCACTATGAAATATCAAGTAAGTAAGCTTGGGCTGCATGCAACCCAAGGGGGTCCTGGTGCAGGACCTTTCTGGGTGGGCTGCCATGGGAAGTGTTACTTCTCTGCCCATTTCCACCACGCTGCTCCTTTCTGTTCTTACCTTAGCAGCTTCCCATGGTCTCCAGGATAAAAGGCAAACCCCTCAAACTCAGCCTGGCATTTAAGGCTGGCCCTCCAAAATCTGACCCCAGCCCATTTCTGCAGCCATCTTTCATAGTATTGCCCTTCACCTATTCTATATTTCAGTGAAATTGAACTGTTAGGTATTTCCCAAACTCAGCCTTCTACCTCCTGTCCACAAGAGAAGAAAAGGGCAAAGGCACAAGCATTTATCGTCACCTACTCTATGCCAGTCACCGTGCTAAGTGCTTTACAAATACTGTCTCATTCGATCCACATAACACTGTGAGTTAGGTACTATGATCCTCATTTTACAGTTGGGGAAACTGAGGCAGATGGAGGTTAATGACTTATCTAGGGTCACACAGCTAGTGTCTGAGGCAGTATTAAAATTCAGGTCTTCCTGCCTCCAGGCCCAATGCTCTGTCCACAGTGCCACCTAGCTGCTTCCTACTTCCTGGCACTCTCCTCCCCCGTGCCTAAAATGCATGAACCGTCTTCGTTTCTTCATTTCTGAATACTTATCCTCCTTCAAGTCTTGGCTCAAAGATGCTGATTCCTTCTCCTCCTCAAATGGCCTTCCATTTCCTTATCTGTGTACATCTTGTCGGCAGATAGTTCTACTTCTCTGAGTATGCCAACAGTCCCCAAGACTGTCAGATCCTTGAAGTTCGGGCGTAGTGGGTTTGGTCTTTGTATTCCCTGAGTTGCCTCCATGATAGACTTGTAGAAAAATGTTGAGGGAGATGAATTTTCAAGGTCCTAAGTGTCAAGCTAAATGTTCAGTCACTTAGAAGGATGTTGTCAAATTCTTCATAAGATTTCCATATTTCTTCATCCTTTACCACAAAGTATAGGCATGTTAGCTAAAATTATCTTTGTGGCAATCTGTTTATGTTCATGAGCTGAGCTCAGCAAGGTATCCTATGATCAAGTGTTCTATGAAATGATATCTCTGTTTCTTTTGGGTATTCGATGGAACAGATTTTTCCATCCCTTTATTCACCTCTTTGGGACAACCTGTGAGCCATCTTTAACCAATCAATCAACTGACAAGCATTTATTAAGCACCTACTGTGTGCCAGGCACTATGCTAGGTATGGGCAAAAATGAAGCAGTCCCTTTTTCATTACATTATAGAGACATTTACATGTATATGCAAAATTTATACTAAAATAATCCAAGGTGATGGGGAGAAGGGATAGGAAGGTGCTAGCAGCTGAAGGAATCAAGAAAGGCTTAATTCTTCTATTTACTTATAATATCTTTATGTCTTCTGGTTCCATTTAGAGTAAGAATATTAATATGTATACAGTTTAATTTGCCCAGTAGCATACATATCTGTTGGTCATTGGACAAAAGTTTTCCATTTATTTAGAATGTTAAGAATTAAGTTCACATTTGTGACTCCAGGCAACTTCTGCCCCCTGTTCTAGCACCCTACTAGCACCATCACTGTGAAATGAAAGGGGGCTGGGCAGGACTGCAGGTTGTTATATTTTTTTCTGATGGGCAATCTCCTGGATATGAGCCTATCCATGCCTAGCCAAGACAGCCTAGTCCTTGGACTGTGTATGCAATGTAACCCTGGAACTATGCTTGACAGCCCTCTAGCTTTTAAGAACTTGCCAGAGCTCGTGTTCCACCAGCATTGATTCTGAGAACCCATGATCCGTATGGCAGCTCTTGAAATATGGGAAGATGGTGACCATTCTCCTTCCTCCCTGCTCCCCACACTCCCAAGGCTCCTCTTCTCCCCAAGCTACATACCTCAAGTGCCTAGGAAGAACCAATATCAAAACCCTTGAATGCCCCTGTTTCTGTATCAAATTATAAAGGTCTTGATTCTGTGGGGTCATTTAACATATTCTTCTGCCTCCAGATGGGTTTCCCCATTTCAGGCAGGTCAGGCTTCTCTTCTTTTGTTAAAGCCCTCTGAAGGAGGGGATTCAGTATCTTTCTTTGAACACTCACTCCAGTCAGGAAGGTCCAACTGATGTTCATCCCCAAGGTATAGTGGAAGCCCAACCGGTCTTGACCTGCCAAGAAAAGTCTAGGTGACACAGGGGGCAGAGACATTATCTCAGTTCTTCCTTGAATCAGGAGAAGAACAGGCTTAGTCAGCAGGGGAGAATGTCACAGTCTGAGGTCTTAGACCTGTATGTCTTCTCTATATCTGAATAGCAATCAGAGCCAGGAAAGAATAGCCCAGGTTTGAGCCTCTAATTTTGCCATTCGAGAATTTTCAGTGGTTTCCTCCTGCCTCTAGGACAAAAAGAAAACTCCTTAGCTCCTAATATTCCTATCTTCTATGCTGGGAATGAATTTCCTCTTCATCTCCATCCCTTAGTATGCAGTTTTTAGCTTTGCCATCTTTTTTTTTTTGATGAGGCAATTGGGATTAAGTGACTTTTCCAGGGTCACACAGCTAATGTGTCAAGTGTCTGGGGCTGGATTTGAACTCAGGTCCATCCTGACTCCAGGACCAGTGCCCTATCCACTGCTCCACCTAGCTGCCCCCCTCATGCAAGCCTTTCTGGATTCTCCTACCTAATAGTATTCTCTCTCTCTCTCTCTCTCTCTCTCTCTCTCTCTCTCTCTCTCTCTCTCTCTCTCTCTCTCTCTCTCTCTCTCTCTCTCTCTCTCCCTCCTCAAACAATCTTCTATTTCCTTATCTGTTTAGTTGTTTTTAATTTCTGTCTTTTTATCTCCAGTGGGTAGCATAGTGCCTTGTGTTACAGTAGGTGCTTATATTTATAGAGGCCCAAATATTTATTGAATTAAATTGTTTAAATATTATTATTCCTATTTTTACAGTTAAGGAAACTGAGGCTCAGAAAGGTAAAGGGATTTTCCCAAGTTCAAACATATAGCGTCAAAGGCAGGATTTTAATTCAGGGTTTCCTGACTATAAATTTAGGGCTTTTCCTACTATACTATAATTTGTGTGCTGATTTAGTATCTGATCACATGGGTTATTTTAATATTTATTTTTTCCCAATTACATGTAAAAACAATTTTTAACCTTAATTTTTTTATAATTTTGAATTCCAAATTCTCTCCCATTCTCTCTCCTCTCCCCCGTCATTGAGAAGGCAAGCAATTTGATAAAGATTACACATGTGCAGACATGCAAAACATATTTCCATTATATGTTGTTTTGTATCATTCTCTAACTGTTTGATACTCCATCTTGTCTTTTCAGATCCACTGTATAGTCTTGCCTGTCAAGGACTGTTCCCCACCCCCACCCCCTCCTCTTTTGTAGCCCCCATCGGGCCTAGCCCAGGGGCAGCCTCACAGTGGTTAATCAGTTGCTGGCTGATTGCCAAGAGCCAGAGGGCTGGGGGTGATTGCAGAGCACTTAGACATACTTGGTAAGTCTGTAGCGGAGAGTTATTTGGCTTGGCTTGAATCCTGAAGGTCAGAGAGCACAGAGAACATGCACCTCCTACCTTGACCCCCACTCCTATCCAAAATCAGGTCAGACAAGAAGAGAACCCACCTGTATCCGGGTCCTACCCCATGGTCTCCCAACTTTGCCCATGCCGCCCCCACCCCTATTCCCTCAGGAAGAGAAGCTGCAAACCTCTCCAGTAAAGACACAGGCATTGCTTGATAACTTAGACACCTTTATTCCACAAAATCAGGGGGGAAAATAAGCTGGAGAAGGGAAGGAAGAGGAACTGAACAGCCAGGAAGAGAGGCTCTCTCCCCACCACATGTACATACACTCCAACCTAGGGCTACATTGGTCTCCATGAATTCCTCTCCAAATCCACCGCTTCCCTGAATTCCCAGAAGTAAGGGAAACGCAGGAGTGAGAGGAATGCTGCTGGGGGCCCCTGTGCAGCGCTGATGGCAGGAGCAGAGTAGGGGCTAGCAGCAGCCTACATTGGAACCCTTCTTTGTTTTTTGGCTCTGGCTTCCTGTCCAGATATGACCCACAGCCTTAAAAGGGGGAGTAATTTGGATTGGAGCTGGTCACTGAGGCAATGTTGAGGGAGGGCAGAGAGTGGCATCCTCATTGGCTGGCCAAGGACTTCCGGGCTTCCTCCAGCATGGACAGAAGCTCGGCTTTGAATTTCTCTGAAATAGGGTCAACGCTTCCCTTGAGATCCTCCAGGAGCGGAGTGACCTTTTCCTTAATGGCTTTCAGCTGCTGGGATACCTTGGCTTGATATTCAGAGGCGGAGGGCAAGCCTTTCTCCCGGAGCTCCTGCAGCTTCTGGCTCAGGTTTGTCTTGAGCTTCTCGTGGTAGGGACTCAAGTACTCCCTGACGGTCTCGATGTGGCTCTGGGCACGCTCTCGAAGTTCTTGGCCCAAGGGGCTCAGTTTCTCATGGAGCTCATCGAACTTCTGCTTGGCGCTGTCCTTCAGGTCCTGGGTCAGAGGGGCGACCTTCTGGCGGTAGAGCTCCATGTCGGACTGCCACTTCTTCTCAAACGCATCCAGGTGGGGTTGAATATTCTTCTTCACTTCTTCCAAGCCCTTTGTCATCTCCTCCCGCAGGCCCTCGGTTTCCTTAACTAAGCTATCCTTGAGTCCCAGGTAGGCAGGGGAGAGCTCGTCATAGAAAGCAGTGAAGGCTGAACCCAGGGAAGATAGAGTGTCTGTAATCTTCAGGCTGCGGAGAGTTGAGGAGAGAAGAGACAGAACGTTATCACACCAGCTGTGGGACCCTGGGCAAGTCACTTCCCTGCTGCATGCCTCAGTTTCCCCATTTGTAAAATAAGGATCATAGTAGCACCGACCTCCCAGAGTTGTTGCAATGATCAAATGAGAAAAAAATTGTAAAGCACTTAGCACAGTGCCTGACCCATAGTAGGTACTCTATAAATTTTAGCTATCATCATCATCACTAGCTGTGTGACCCTGAGCAAGATTTTGCTGCCTGCCTCAGTTTCCCCATATGTAAAATGGGGATCATAATAGCACCTACCTCCCAGGGCTGTTGTGAGGGTCAAATGAGATAATTGTAAAGCTCTTAGCACAGTGCCTGGCACATAGTAAGCACGATATCCATATTAGCAATCCTTACTATTAGCTGTCACAGCCAACTAGTCATAAAGCACAGTTTTGCCCATGTCACTCCCTTGCTTGAAAACTATCAGCATGGGGCAGCTAGGTGGCACAATGGATAGGGCACTGGCCCTGGAGTCAGGAGGACCTGAGTTCAAATCCAGCCTCAGACACGTAACACTTATTAGCTGTGTGACCCTGGACAAGTCACTTAACCCCCATGCCTAGCCAAAAAAAGAAAGAAAGAAAAGAAAAGAAAAATATCAGTGGCTCCTAATTGCTTCTAGGATGAAAATGCCAGCCTTCAAGTGACTTCCCAAGCTTCCAATCTATCTTTCTGGACTGCCTTTACATGACTACGCTTTCCCACATTCTACATCCCAGACAAACAGGGCTATGGGATGCTTCTTATAACAGCCTTTTATGTGCTGGGTCTAGGCATAGGCTGTCTCCCACACCTAAAACACCCCTCCCACCTGCCTCTTGGAGCCTTAAGTTCCTTTCTAGCCTCTGTTCTAGGGCCACCTCTTAGAGACCTAGTCTTATTTCTCCAATTGTTAGTGCCCCACCAACCCCTACCCCCAAACCACTCTGTTTATCTTGTAAACACCATGTATTTACTTATCTGAATTTCTGTTTGTTTTCCTTCCAGTACAATGTAGGTTCTTTGAGGGAAAGGATTTTTTCTCTGTATTCTCAGAGCCTAGCCCCTTGCCTGGTACTTAGTAGGTGCATGTTGAATTGAATTGCTTCCCAAATGAGGAATAGGGATTGGGGAGAAAGGGAAGAGTCGGGTGAATCCCTGGGCAGACTGTGCTCAGGAAGGAATCTGACCTGCTCTGACACTCCTGGTGTACCACCCCTGTTCCTCTTTTAGTCAGGCTTCTCCTAACTTAAGCCTCCCTTTCTTAAGCTTAAAAGATGCCCAGAAGAGGAAGCTGGCCTTTGGAGAAGCCTTAGAGGAAGGAAGCTGAGGAGACAACCTATCCGCGTTGGATAGGCCAGGCCAAGTCCAGGAGCGGGGAGCCACCAGTGGATGACTCAGGGGTCCAGCAATCACTGATGCTCTCTGTCACCTCTGGGGAAAGTGAGGACCAGCAGCTTCCTCCCCTGGCACCACAGGACAGACTGTGTACTCTGACAAGCCTACTCACTCCAATTCTTTGCCCATAGAGGAGGACTCAAACTGAGACGCATACTCCTTGCCAGTGTCCCTGACAGCGTTCAGGTAGACAGTCAGGGCATCCTTCACCTGCTCCAGGGGCGTCTGGGGCTCATCATGCTGCCAGAAATAGTTGGCCTGGCTCCCTTGAGGAGAGAAGGAAGATGACCGCGTCATTACCGCCCTCTGCCCTGACTCTTTAATAACCCGCTCAGTCCTCTCTCAGGGGTTCCAGAGGGAAGGGGCTTCTGAGCTACAGGTGGGAGAAGACAGCGTATGTGAAGGTGCAGTTGCCCAGCTCAGCCTAGGACCAGTGAGAGCAAATTTTGTATTAAGTATTCCTGCCACCACCTTCTCCCAATCCCCTATAGTGTATCGGGAACAAAGGGGAGTGAGGCGCCTGACTGACCGCAGAGCTGGGGCTTGGTGTTGGCACCTACCTGTGAGGAAGAGCAGGGAGAGGCTCAAAATCACAGCTCTCATCCTGAGGACTTCTGCCTATGACCTGTGGAGAGAGGAGACAGGCTTAAACCGTGGAAGAAGAGGAGGAGGAGGAGGAGGAGGAGGAGGAGGAAGGTACATCAGGCAAGGGTAATCACACAGGACGAGGAAAGACTCCTGGGCTTCTGTTTACTCATCTGTAAAATGGAAGGGTCCCAACAGCTCTGGACCTAGCGTCCTTCCCTGCATTTACTGCGTCCCTTTCTCCTGCTAGGTCCTGGACTTCCTATCTGGAGGTCAGCCAGAGGCCTGGTCAAGCTTGTCCCAGGTAAGCCCAGTCAAATGGCCAGCCTGGGCTTGGCGGATCTTACCTGAATGTTCTCTCCAGGTGATCTAACAGGAGTTGTAGCTCTCCTCAGGAGCTGGTATTTATGCTGCCAGTGAGGGCTGGGCTAAAGCAGGGAGATAAGGTGAACCTTCAGAAGGACATGTGGAACTTAGAGTTCAAGGGTCAAACTTGTCTCTCCTCCCCCACTCACCTGAAATCCTGGGCCTAAGCAGGTAGGCAAACAGAAAGTAGGGGCAGTGATTACCCAAGAGGGACCCAGCTCTGGCTCTACAATCCGGGACGGTCCACTGGGCAAGGGATAGGCTGCACCTCTCGCAGAGAGTAATCTCTGTCTTCCAAAGTTAGCTGGGGTTGGGGGGAGCATAGCCTAGGCCAGGGGTGGACTCAAGGCCACATGCGGACCTCTAGGTCCACAAATGCAGCCCTTTGACTGAATCTAAACGTCACAGAACAAATCCCCTTAATAAAAGGATTTGTTTTGTAAAAGTTGAACTCAGTCAAAAGGCCGCACCCAAGGACCTAGAAGGCCACATGTGGCCTTGAGGCTGCAGGTTCCCCACCCCTGGCCTAGGCTATGCCAGCCCTACACTGCTCCTTCGGGGCCCAAACCTCCTCTTCAAAACCTTGGGTGAGAAGTAAGAAAGACTTTGGCTAGTTCCATTACCCACGTAATCTCAGGCCCAGAAGGGAGGGACTCACACACGGAATGGGGGGGGGGAAATTATCTTGGCACAGAGGGAGGGGAGCATGAGTACTACCCTAACATAGGTTTTTCCAGGGGGGAGGTAAGAGGGACTTCCTGCCTGGTCCCCACAGAGGCTCAGAAGGGAACACCTCCCCCTTCCCTCTTTAAGAAGCAGGAAATCTCTGCAAGAAGTAAGCTTTTTGTCTCCAAACCTCTTGTCCATCCCACCCCCCAAAATCAGGAAAAGTGAAAAATGGAACACTGTGGTCTCTGAAGTCAGGGGAAGTTCTAGCAGTGGGTTTTGAGTGGTTTCTCTCTAGTAATCCAGGTTGTTCCCAAACCTGGCTCAAACTCACATCTTCTAGGAAGATTTCACAGACTGATTCATTGAACTCTGACTCATGGTTCAGCTATTAACTAGTACTGACTTGTCAATAGCTGTGTATGACCATAAGCAAATCACTTCACCTAAGCCTCAGTTTCCTCATCTGTAGTATAGGAAAAGTTATACACAGAATACTTAATAAAGATTTAAAAAGATATCGTGTATGTAATATGTTTTGCCGAGTTCGAAATGCTGTGTCAGATGTCTTTCATCATTATTATCATCATTTTTATTCAGTTTGTTAAATGACCCAAGAATTTGAGGACCAGTACCTAGGACCTTAATATCACAGCATCTAAATTTCCATCTTGTTCTGTCTACCTGCACCTGGAGAGTTAGTGTCCATATTGGAGATGTGGGAATAGAAGAAAAAGCTGGCATGCTTTGGGAAGTTAGAATACTAGAGATAAGTTCAAGGGTCAGTTGGGTATTGTAGAATGGTGAAGATAGAGCTAGAAGACCTGACTCTGATTGACTTAGCTACTTAATACCTAGGTGACTTGGGGTCAGTCCTGTCACCTGTTTGGGCTTCAGTTTCTTCATCAGTAAAATATGGGGACTGGTCTAGCTCAAAATCGATAACCCTGTGGGTCTAGTATAGTATGGCACACTATCATTCGCTGTTATCTGTCTCGATTTCTCTGCTGATTTACAAGTGTTTTCTGATGGTCTGATTCCAACTAGATGGAAGGTACGGACTGTATCTTCACTCCTCTGTGTCTGCCCTAGTACCTGGTACCGAACTTTGTACAAACGGTGTTGCTAGCTGCTTGCACTATTGAATGCTGGAGAAAACAACTTCCTGCTGGGATTGTAGGGGCCAGAGTGGCTGGGTAGGAAAAGCCCTCGGTTTGGAATCCAGAACTGGAGTCTGTCTACTACCTGCTTTTTAATTTGCTAATCTTGAGAAAAATAATTTATGTTCACTGGGCCTGTTTCTTCGCCTGTAAAATGTCTATAAGAATCCTGTCATCTACCTCACAGGATTTCTGGGAAGACCAAATGGGATAGTATATGTAGCTATGTATGTAACGCAGTGTTCCAGCCTGAGAATTTGCCCAAGACATTCCTCCTTGGTAGTGGAATTAATACCTAATGCTCTGCACCTACAAGAAAGTTCCCTGGAGGCAAGAAGCTGACATGGAGAGGAAGCGCTTCAAGCATGTCAACTTTTCCCCAAATCCTTTATCTCTCCCTTCAGAGGCCTTTTCCTGAGGAGAATCCATAGCCATAATTCTAGAAGGCAAAATCCAGAGGAAATAATCTCTCCTCTCCTGATTTCTAGCCAACTCCATCCCTCTCAAGGACACAGACATCAAGTGATCATGCTCTTCACCAATGAGGAAAGTCTTGATGCAAATACATTATCTCTGGGTTACACACAAATAGCAAAAGCTCAGCATTGGAAGGAACCTTGGAAGTGTTTGAATTCAACCTCAGACAAGTGGTTATTCAGTCTCTGCTTGAATTCTAGTGACAGGGAACTTACTACCTGCCAAGATAACCCATTCCACTGGATGGCTCTTATTGTTAGGGAGTGTCTGCTTTATATAGGATGTTCAGGTGTTCCAAAAAAATCTTAAGCTACTAAAGCTTAATACTGCACCACACTTTGGGAATGCCCTGTGTTAAGTTAAAATCTGCTTCCCTGTACCTTCTACCCTCTGGGGGCAAGCAGAACAAGCTTAATCTCATTTCCATGGGGCAACCCTCTGAACAACAGCTTAGAGACAGCTATCATGTTCCACCTAAAGAAACCTCCTCTCCTCCAGGTCAAACATTCTCAGTTCTTTCCCCCATTCCTTATAGAACATGGTAGCTAGTCCTCTCGCCATCAGGCTTGCTTCTTATCCTGTGAACATATGCCCATTTTCATTGACCCTCCTACAATGTGTTACCCAGAATTATATCCAGAGAAAAAAACAGAGGATCTACTCTAGCCCACAAATGCCCTGGGAGGAAAAGCTGACCTCTCTGGATCCTCCCATAGATGTCAATGGTCAGGAACAAACCCATCTGGCTGCCCTGTGTCAGCACCCATGCTTATCTGTGCTAAGTGACTAGGGGGTAAGGGTTAGGTAAGGATGGATGAGTGGAAGTCTTGGCTCAGCTATACAACTGGGGGAAAACATGTGACAGTGCAGGGTTGCTGCTGGTGTTTATACTTCCTTCTCAAAGAGGACCATGACATCAGGGAGGCGATGCCATGACTCACAAGTGAATTGGATTTAAGTGAGGCAGGGCTGTGCAAAGCCACTTGGCCTCACTCTCTCCTCCAGAGCCATCTGGGTCCAGTAGCAAGATGTAGATCAGTATGACTGGAGATGTTCCCCCACCCCTCCCCCAGTGTAGGGTGGAAAAGACAGAGAAGGAAAGAAGGAAGGCAGGGGGTAGTTGGGAGAAGTTAGGTGGGAGGAAATTTGGAAGATAGGAACTGGTTAAGATCAGAAATATGGACCTAGAAGGGAGCTTAGTTCCCCAGTTTTTTCCCTTCCAATTCTCTAATTTTACCAAAACAGGACAGCATAGTGGAGACAGCACCAGGCCTGGAGTCAGGAAGACTCATCTGCATGAGTTCAAATCCAGCCTCAGACACTTACCAGCTGGGTGATCCTGGGCAAATCATTTAACACTGTTTGCCTCAGTTTCCTCACCTGTAAAATGAACTTGAGAAGGAAAAGGCAAGCCAGTCCAGGATCTTTTCCAAGAAAACCCCAAATGGGGTCACAGAGTCAGGCCTGACTGAACAACAATTTTACAAATGAGGAATCAAACCCCGGGAAGACCGATGTCACACAGGTAGTGGGCATCAGAGGCAGGATTTGAAACAAGGTTTCGGTTTTTGGTTTTGTTTTTGGGGATTAAGTGACTTGCCCAGGGTCACACAGCTAGTAAGGGTCAAGTGTCTGAGGCCAGATTTGAACTCAGGTCCTCCACACTCCAGGGCTGGCGTGAAACAAGGTTTTTTGACTTCAAGAACCATGATGACCAGGTTTGGTTTGGCAACCAAACATTGCACAGCATTTTTAGCAACAAACATGCTGTTCTCACACAAGTCTAGAGATTCTTTTCCTTTAACATCTATTCATAGCAATGGAAGGGATCTTACTGATCACATAGAGACTAGATTCTGGTCCAATTTCTTTTTATAGATGATGAAACTCAGGCCCACGAAAGTGACTTAGTGTTAGTTCCAGGTCACACTGATATATATATATATATATATATGTGTGTGTGTGTGTGTGTGTGTGTGTGTGTGTGTGTGTATACAACACACATGTACACATTCACTATATGTGTATATACATACATACACACATATGCCTATTCCCAGATTTGCAGTAAAATGTCATGTCTACATATATGTACATAACACCCCCCCATATGCATCCATATATCTATATCTCCTATTGCAGATCTGGGAGTAAGCTTCTAAACTCAGCACGGTGTAATTTTTACCTTACTATGCCGCCTCTCAGTTCAGTAGCTTGCTCTGTTGTATACCACACCCCTCACCACCACCACTGCACCCTTGTTCCCTGGGCTCTCAGCAGCTGATAGAACAGGCATCAGCAGCAACCTTTAGGGAAATGGGTGCCTAGTTGATAGGCTGACTGTGGGTACTGACAACCAGCTAGTTGATGGAGCAATCAACTACTTAAAAAATACCTCCCTCTCCCATAATGTATATTCCATAGATCAGAGATTCATTTGGATGAACAAATTCCATTAAAAACATAAATCCCACTGTATTCTGTGCTGGTCAAATGCACCAGGACTATTTTGCTCAGTTCTGGGCACCACATTTTAAGATAGAAATTGACAAACTGCAGAGCATTTAAAGGGGAAGCTACCACAATAGAGGGCTCAGGAAACGATCATATGGAACACGGAAAGGGATTCCAGACGTTTATAGTAAGATTCAGAAGAGTGCACGGATAGCTGCTTTCTGATATCTGAAGGTTTGTACTCTGGAAGTGATTTAAACTCTACTCTTTTACATGAAATAGGCTGCCT